AAAGAGGGGGGAAAGGAAGGATGGAAGAAGGAAGCAAGAGAGAGGAAAAAGAAAAAGGGAGACAGGAAGGAAGGGAAGGGAGGAAGGAAGGATGGACGAAGGAAGGAAGAGAAAGGAAAAAAAAAGAAAAGAAAAAGAAAAAGGGAGAAAAAGGAAGGAAGGAAGAGAAAGGAAGAAAAAAGAAGAGAAGGAAAAGGAAGACAAGAGGGAAAGAAAGGAGAAAGAAGGGAAGGGAGAAAGAAAGAGAGAAAGGAAGGATGAAAGAAGGAAGCAAGAGAAAGGAAAGCAAGAAAAAGGAAGGAATTCAAGGAGAAAGGAGGGAAGGGAGAAAGAAAGAAAAAGAAAGGATGGAGGAAGCAAAAGAAAGAATAGAGGAAAGGGACAGAAAGAAAAAGGAAGGAATGCAAGGAGAAAGAAGGGAAGGGAGACAAAGGAAGGAAAGGATTGACCCCAACATTCCTCTTTCTGAAGGGAGCTGAGCCCCATTGAGTGACATTCCTTTGCTCCCGTCGTTAAGTGAACCTCCCACACACACACACAGCCACCAGGCTGGTCAAAGCCCCGCCTCCCGAGGCCCTTGTGATGGTCGCCAATCCCAATCGGCCCCCCAACGGTCCTCCACAAGGCTGAGGAATGGCCCGTCGTAAGTGGAGAGCCGTGCCTGGATTCCCCTCCCTCCCTCCTCTGCGGAGACCCGTCGTAAGTGGAGATCCGTGCCTGGATTCCCCTCCCGCCTCTGCGGAGACCGTTTCTTCCTTTCAAGCAGCTTGAATGGGAAAAAAGACAGATAATCCAAGACAAACAAAATCCCTCACCCCTTCCGGCGGTTGAGGAGTTTCGAAGGGCGGAGTGGGGGGAAGGAAGGCCGGGAGGTCATCCAGCCCAACCCCAAACTCCCCTCCCTCCCTCCCTCCCCGGGGGTTTCAGTCTTGCCCTGGCAAAGCTGAGATCGGCCCGGCGTCGGTCTCTCCAACGGAGTCCCGCCCCGCCGTCTGGCGGTCATCTGCGGTAGACGGCAAAGGCCACGCAGCTGAAGAGGAGGGTGAGGCCGGTCAGGCAGGTGGTGGCCGTGGCGGTGAAGACGTGGCGGTGTTGCAGCTGGACGTACCAGAGGGCGGCCAGCAGGAGCACCAGGAGGGGCATCATCAAGGTGCCCACGTTGAGCGGGGCGGCGCGGGAGGCCTCGCCTTCGGTCCGGGCTCCTTCGGCGGCGGCCGGGTCGGCGGAAGGCGGGCGGCGCTGGCTCAGGTGGCAGTGGACCACACTGTTGGGGGCCAGGTGGAGGGCGGCCAAGGTTTGCCCGTCGTCCCGGAGGAGGTGGCCCTGGTAGATGAGGCGCACCAGCTGCTCCTGGCCGGGGAAGCAGAGCCTGGAAGGAGGAGGAGGAGGAGAGCGGCGGTGGGCGGAGGAGGAGGAAGACGAGGAGGAGAGGAGAGGAGGAGAGCGGCAGTGGGCGGAGGAGGAGGAAGAGGAGGAGAGGAGGACGAGAGCAGGAGAGCAGGAGGAGAGGAGGAGGAGGAGGAGGAGGAGGAGGAGAAGAGAAGGAGGAGAGGAGGAGGAAGAGGAGGAGGAGGAGAAGAGAAGGAGGAGGGAGGAGGAGGAGAGGAGGAGGAGAAGAGAAGGAGGAAGAGAGGAGGAGGAGGAAGAGGAGGAG